AAATCTGTCACTGCCTCCATATCTTCCCCTTCTATTTCCCAGGAGGTGATGGGACCAGTGGCCATGATCTTAGTTTTTTTGATGTTGAGCTTCAGACCGTTTTTTCACTCTTCTCTTTCACCCTCATTTAAAGGTTCTTTAATTCCTCCTCACTTTCTGCCATCAGAGTGGTATCATCTGCTTATCAGAGGTTGTTGATATTTCTTCCAGCAATCTTAATTCAGTCTTGGGATTCCTCCAGCCCAGCCTTTCACATGATGTATTCTGCATATAAGTTAAATAAGCTGGGGGACGATATACAGCCTTGAAATAACACATTAGGGCTTATTTTTAGGGGATGTTTAATTTTTTCATGTGCAATGATCTACATTTATTCAAATACAGTCATGTCATCTTCCAGTTGCTGCACAAGGGTGAAGGGTGGGCTTATACTTAACTAGGGCTTTTGGGGGGGGGGGAATAAGGTTTATATTATGAGCATCCTGAATTTTTTTTACTAGTGCTCATTATCAGATTAGGGCTTATTTGCGGTTAAATGGTATTTTGCTACTCAAGAGTTTTTCATGAGCTTCTAAGGGAGGAAAAGGAAAAAAAAACATTTGTGGTCTTAAGATCCCTTCATCTGACAACAGATTTGGCAGAATATATTATAACCATGCTTGGATAGGTGGGGATTGTAATCACTGGGGCCAAAAGGAAATGAAATGCAAAAAATGTGGGGAAAGGTGGTCATTAGCAAAACGTAGTTACAAGTATAACATAGAGGTCCTACATTGATGATCTAACTAACACATATGGTGTGATAAAAACTTCTTAATGGACTGTTGAAATATTTCATGTTAGAATCTCTTTGAAGCTCCCATGCTCAAGAGTGGCTGCCTTGACTTCAGAAACAGAATGCTCCAGAGGATTGAAGTGCCCAATCTTGGTATTTAATGTTCCCATTTCTGATGTTTTATTTGACTCTGCTAACCTTTCCTGTCTCATTTTTATATTTGAGAATGGGAAATCTTAATTTTTTTCTCCTCACCTGCCATGGAAAGACTGTTTACAACTTTGTGAACAATTACCCAGTTGTCTTCTACTCATTGTGTGCGAGTGCATGTGCGCAAATTGCAGGTGGTGAAAAAAAAGTTTCCTGTCTTAGATTCAAACTGGAGGCAAGAAATCTCACAGGGCTTAAAAACTCTTTATCAAGATCAAGGCAACTTAAACGAATAAGAATGAGAAACAGCAAGTATTGGTCACATCTCTACCAACAACTCTTTTGTGCAGAGGCTGAGCTACTTGTCATTTTAATGAAAAATTATGCAGGGCATTGTTCACAAATGATAGCTTATATCAGGAAGGATGCAGGATGCAGGAAGGTTCTTCCCACTCCTCAAGAGAGCTCCACTGGCTGCTGTCTGGCTGTGGCAAATACATTGCTGTCCATTTTTCTATGACATTACCACAGGAGAGTATGGATCATGATTCTCTCCAGGATCCCATTGGCCATTCAAGACATCTTGTCTTGCCAGCTCCTGGTTGCAATATTGGAAACTCCCTGGAGATGTAGCAAAAGTTTTCCCAGCAATGAGAGTCTGTATGAGGTTGCCTTCCTGCTTTATTACCAGAGATGTCCACTTGGTTGTGCCAAGGGAAACCCTGGCCTCTAGGGTAACATTTCTTCGAAAGCAGATTTTGGCCCACTGTGGGGGCTTTCTGACAGTACTAAAGAAGTGAAATATATGTTCTTAACTTATCACTAAAGCTAAAGTAGTTAGTAAAACAAAATGGCAGAATTTGATGGCTAGCTGTTCCATAGCATCATCAGTAGTAGTATTTCTAATGTAGTCTTTTTTGTGTGAGATGTTGGCGTCAAGAACACTAAGATTTATAATAGCTAGAATACTGTTGTCTGGTAAATTATAAGCGAATCAGTTTTCCTTAGAAAGTCAGATGTATTCCTTAGATCAGTGATTCCCAACCTTGAGTTCCAGATGGTCTTGAACTACAACTACCAGATATCCTAGTCAGCACAGGTAGTGGTGAAGGCTTCTGGGAGTTTTAATCCAAGAATATCAGAGGACCCAAGGTAAGGTTGAGAACCATTGTCTTTGATAATTTGGAGCATTGGTAGTGTCCAGGCTGA